GGGGGTGGTCATTACTAACAGTGTACATCTCTGAGTTCTTTCTGAGGACGGTGACTGAATGATTAGTCTTCTCTAGAAGCAATGCTTGGGAAAGACCAATCACTATTATTGTGTCAGTAACACTGCCCAGTGAGGGGCTAGAAACCCCCCTCCAAGGGGTCATACAGGTCACAGATTGGGAGGGACATGGGGACAGAGAGTGGCAAGCTTCGTAAGAGCATGAAGTCCTCGGCCTGTACCTCTCCAGGACACTCTGGCTGTGCTAACTGTGGCCCGCATTCCCATTATATGAGTTCTAAAGCTCTTTTGCTGTTCCTCTTGCAGGGCTCCCAACAATGTTGCAGCCAACACCCCAGGAAAGAAGGTGAGGTTGCGGTCTTGAACATGCACACTGCAGTCATCGGACTAAGTCCATGTTCTTTCTTGCCTTCTCAGACTCCACTGCCCTCCCTCCTCAGTTCCCCACAACAGCATGCATGACTCTCCAGCTCGACCTTTGAACAAATTGTTATTTAGGGTTTTTTTTGTTTTGTTTTTTGTTTTTTTGTTTTTTGAGACAGGCTTTCTCTGTATAGCCCTTAGTGCCCTGGAATACGATTTGTAGTCCAGGTTGGCCTCAAACTCACAGAGATCCACCCCACCGGCTTCCTTCTCCCAAGTGCTGGGATTAAAGGTGTACTCTAACGCCATCTGGTGGCTTTTACTTTAATACAGAAGGAGATTAGTGGGGTTTTTTGGTTTGGTTTGGTTTGGTTTGGTTTGGTTTGGTTTGGTTTGGTTTGGTTTGGTTTTTCGAAACAGGGTTTCTCTGTGTAGCCCTGGCTGTCCTGGAACTCACTCTGTAGACCAGGCTGGCCTCGAACTCAGAAATCAGCCTGCCTCTGCCTCCCAAGTGCTGGGATTAAAGGAGTGCGCCACCACTGCATGGCGAGATTAGTGTTTGTTACTGGCTTCATATTATTTAGATTACTGGTCTCAAAGGTAAAGACTTCTCTGACCTACTCTTCAGACGTGGGATGGAGGAGTAACCCTCTGTTGTGGGATGCTGTCCTCCAAGGCACAACTTGGGGTGACATTCTTGAAATGTCAGAGCAGCTGTGGGGACCGACAGGAGTCCCTCACAAGATTAAATCTACATCCAGGGCAGAAGTATGAGGGGTGATCAGACCTGGGAGTACAGCCACTCATTCTCGTCACCACCCCATGTAGTCCTGCCTCAACTATATATATGTTGTAGAGAAAATCTCTTCTGAACTGTATGGATGCAGCACCTGTCAGTAAAACAGATTGGCCTATAAGCTTAGGCAGGAAATAGAAAGTGGGACATGCAATAGGGACATTGAATTCTGGGAGAGAGCAAGGTTGGGAGGAGCCCAGGAACATGAAGAGGTCAGAGGCATGGGAGCTGAAAAGAGGTAACCAGCCATGTGTTAGAACTGAAATTAGAACAAATTGGATATTAAGAAACGGTGAAAGCTCATGACCTAGGTATGTGGAAATATATTTGAGTCTCAGTGTTGTTATCCTGGGAGCCTGGGGCCAGGAGGAAAAACATGGCTTTTACAGAGTGTTTTCTTAAGAAGCACTGTGTTTACAGGATGTAGAAAGTTAACTGAAGAGGTCAGCAGCCATCCTGTGGTGCAAGGGTAGCTCACGATCCTGTTAGTATTATGATCTGTCCCCAACCCCACAGCGGTAGCCATTTTGTTCCACGCCTACCAGTCACTGACACAGAGAAGGGACTTGGCTCAAGGATATGTGACCACATTCCCTGTTTTGTTCTGTAGGTTTTGAATGTTCTGTGTGAGGTTTGCTAATATTAAGAAATTCCACAAAGGTTTATGCAGGACCCATCAAATCAAAGGTCAATATGAACTGTTTTGTCTAAAATTTCTTGAGTCAGCGCTGACCACCAGGCAGCCCTTCCTACACCTATGTATGAGCTCACTGTGGTGTTTCTGGCTGACATTGAAGAATGCTACTAATAAGCCAAAAATTATAACTCATGCTCTGTTATCTCAATGTTCTGATATTTCCCTGTTTACCACCCCTTACCTTACTCAGGACCAACCAGCTTAGAGGCTAGCTAATACTTTGCCTACTAAGCCACCTGCTCCACTCCTTGACCTTTAAACTTTTGAACCTGGTTTTTCCTATAAAAAGTCTACCCTGAGGGCTGGAGAGATGGCTCAGAGGTTAAGAGCAATGTCTGTTCTTCCAGAGTTCAATTCCCAGCAACTACATGGTGGCTCACAACCATTTATAATAAGGTCTGGTGCCCTCTTCTGGCTTTGCAGGCATACATGCAGGCAGAACACTTATTTATTTATTATGTATACATAATAAATAAGTAGATAAGTAAATAAATAAATTAAAAAAAATCTACCCTGAGATCAGACCAGTATACAATTAGGCTTCCGAGTTCTTTTTTCCATCCTGAATGTTCAGTATTGAGGTGAGTGTCAATAAACTCTTCTTGCTTAGCTGAGATCAGTGTTTGTGTGGTTTGAGTGGGGATTCCTGAACCACAGCAGTTAAGAGTCTCAATAAACTCACTGGTTCTCCATGCTGGACTCAGGTGCAACTTTGTTTGGTAGGTTGTGGCTCTTTTTTATCTGGCTTAGAAACTTTCCCTTAGTGGGTGGGAAAGGTGGCTCAGTATAAATAGTACTTGAGTTCATTTCCCAGCAGCTATGTCATGGCCTGTAACTCCAGCTCTTGTGTAACTGACACCCTCTATTGGTCTCTACAGGCAACTATGTACACGTTACTCATGGACACACAGACATACACAAATATAATCCTTAAAGTCTCCCAGGCTATGAATTCCAGCACTCAAGGAGCAGAGGCAAGCAGCTATCTGAATTCAAGACCAGTCTGGTCTACAGAGTGAGTTCCAGGACAGAGAGAGCTACCCAGAGAGACAGTCTCAAAAAAAACAAACAAAAAAACAAAACAAAACAAAAAAACAAAACAAAAAAAGAACAAAAAACGAAAACAAAAGAAGCTCCCCAGAAGAGTTACACGTTACCTTCCACATCTGCTCCCCTTTTCTTTATGACTGCTTCACAAAAGTCAGGTGACCTCAGAGCTGCCAACTGCTGTCCCCATGCTTCCAGAGTAGGCCCTCCCCTGGCCCTCTGAGCTGTCTGGGGCAAACAGCTGAGAGGGAAGTGGGAAATGCCTGGTTTGTGGCATTGTCATACTCTGGTTTATAACAAGGTCAGCAGGGCAGCCCTACCTGTGGGAATTCCCTGTTGATCTTGAGGAACCATGCCATTCCTGTGCCCTGTTCCCAGGAGGGAAGACTGGGGCAGCCTTGCTGGCTGCAGATGAAGAGGAAGCAGTGAAAGCTGCCTGTGGGTACAGGGAATTCCTCCTTGTGGGGACAGTTTACAGTGCCAACACATGCTGTCCTTAGGTTCCGCCTGGTGGTTGCTACAGGGACAGAAACCAGTTGGGTGACAAGTGGGTGATTCCATGTACCTGAGTATAACCCATGGGTTTTTTTTTTGATGTGCACTGATGTGTTTTGCTGGTATGTTTGTTTGTGTGAGGATGTCAGATCCCCTGGAACATGGAGCTGCCATGTAGGTGCTAGGAATTGAACTCAGAAGCTCTTAACCACTAAGCCATGTCTACAGTCCTTGGCCCCTGCTCTTTTAGTTTTGAAGCTGGACGGACAAGCATGGGGGCATGTCCTCCCTACCCTGAGTATACATCTCATCTTGCAGTGTGGGAGCAAGTGGGGTAGGCACTATTTGACTGTAGAGTTGTGTTGGTGGTGGCAGCATGAGGAAGAAGCTGTTCACACCATGGCTAATCAAGAAGCAGTGAGCTAGCTCTGTGAGTTTGAGGTCAGCTTGGTCTATACAATGAGTTCTAGGACAAAGGGTTATGTAGAGAGAACCATAAAACAAATCATAAAAAGCGTGGAGCTGGGCTGAAGAGACATGGCTCGGCAGTTAAGTGCCCTTCCTGCTCATGTAGAAGACCCAGGTTTGGTTCTCAGCACCCAAGTGGCAGCTTAAAACCATCTGTACCTTCAGTTTTGGGGACCTGATTTCCACTTCTGGGGGCACTGCACACATAGCT